AACGAGAAGTTCTTGTAAGCACAGTTGCTTACAAGTAAGACACACACTAAGCACCTCCTATTGGAGGTGCTCTTATAGATGAAGAAAAAAAAAAGAAACCTTTTTTTTCATTTTTATTTGAAACTTGCATAATAATTTAAGTTAACAAATAAATAAACGTTGAGCGATCATAATAATGCTAAAGATAGAATTAACGTTACTAATTTTTTTTAAAATAATCTTTACACGAGAATTCAAGCTAACAAGTGATTAGTCATTAAACTCTCGTAATTAAATAACGTTAAAGATAAAAATGTTATTCAATTAATGTTATTATTTGTTGTATATTGAATACTTTCTAAACAATAATCTTGAAGACAAAAAATCACATTCACTCTTGCAATTATTTTCAACAAATAAAAAAAAGGTTAAGAAAAGAATGTGATACCAAATGTGAGGCAGATAAATTGTTGAACTTGTTATCGTGTTGAATCTTCAAATATGATGATATATTAGGTGTGTTTTGGCTACCTTTCACACTACACAGATGCCTCACTAATCTCAAGAAATACAAAGAGAGAGGAAGAGAGAGAATTTTCCAGCTATTAGGAATCTTATTTTTCTGGCCCAAGAACAGTGCCCGAGTCTGCTATTTATAAATGTCAGACCTGACCAAAACGACCCGTTCTAGATTCAGAACGGCCCGTTTTGAATCGTTCTGTTATGAGCTAAATTTGAACCTGGAACGGCCCAATCTAGATTTGAACGTGTCCCATAACGAACTACACTGGAACGACCCATTTTGTCCCGTTCTCAATTAGGGTTTTTTGTCTTTTTAGTAACTTGAAACGGGCCGTTCTGACTTGGGAACGACCCATTCCGATTTTGGAATAGCCCATTCTAAGCTACTAAAATTAACTTGTTTCGACTTCAAGCTCCTTGCTGTTATCATATGGTGTTGCTTTCATACTTTGAGAGCTCCTCCACTTCATAATAGACCTCCATTTCATTGTTTTTGTAGGTCCGGATAAAATTAGTTATTCACACCTTGTCTTACTCGTGCATGACACTCTTCCATACCCCATTAGCACATCGTCGCCAAGGATGCAGATGACGATGATAACAACAAGAATCACGTTAACTACCTCAACGACATTGATGATCTCCTCTTGCTCACCTAGGATGCACTCTTCCAAATCCACCAACGAGTCATCGTTGAGGACGCGCCTGACAATAACGACAGGAATCACTTCAACGACCTTGACAACACCAGCAACCTCATCTCCCTCACGTAGGATGCACTCTTTTGAATCAACCAATGCCTCGTCGTCAAGAATCGTCGTCAAGAACATGCATGACGACAATGATAGAAACTCCGTCAACTTCACCAAATCAATCCCTTCTAAGACATTGTTACCATCGCAACACCGAGATCGATCTAAAGCCAAATCACTTCCTAGAGAAAAAAATGATCACAAAACAAAAGAGGATATTGTAGTTATAAAAAGGGTATTTTAAATAATTTAAAATAAAAACAAAAATAAAAAACTATTGTTCACTTTTATTCATGAGCAGACAATATGATATGGTTGTCCACTGTAGTCAACAATATGCTTTTTCCCTTTTTTCAAAAAAATAAAATAAATCAACGTGTTACATTTACCTAACATTGATGTCCTAATCAATGCTACTCTACTTAGATTTTCCACTCTTTTTTTAATGAATATGGTTACAATATCTTAGAATAAATAATTAAATATTAACTTGTGATCTCCGCATACCAAATCTCAATTAGATCAAGATATTTTGTCACTTTTCTTTTAGTAAAACAAAATAGATTTATCCTACTTCTTCCTAACTAATGCATGAATAGATATCAATCGTTAAAATTTAGTTTTTTTTTAAAATGTTTTTCTCAATCGGTTACTTACATTAAAATATTTTAGATTGAGTTATTGAGCTGAAGCAGACACAATATACCGAATACTTGTTCGTTAAATAGTGATAATTATAGTTTTAAACTTTTAATATTACTCCTTGTAGCATCTATCCAAAAATGCTCCTATCCAGCACGTGATCACCTAGGGCTAGGGCCTATAAGATGCATGGTTAAGTTCAAATTTTGGTACGTAGTAAAGTTAGGCACATGGTGTAAACTCAAAAAGTAGCATGATGTTAACGTGTCTTTTTATTTTGCCACAAAAAATGTTCCATTAATTAGTTCTTTTACCTTCTTCTTCTTAAAAGAATATCGAAAAAATAGGGCTGTGAATCAAACTTTCAATTCACATCGTTATCGTACTAGGTTCAAAAGTTGAGAATGATGATGGACCACTCGTGCTAGGGCATAAAGTGTGTCATCTCTTGTCCCCCATTAAACATTATATGGACCCTTTCTGCGTGCATTATTGGATGCAAATATATACAAAAATAGTGCATTATTGGATGCAAATATATACAAAAATAACTTTGTGCTCAACAGAAATAAAGAAGATCAATCATACTCTTCTGAACTCCTTCATGACCCATATCTTTATAGTAGCAGCTTATATATTGGCCTAGTTATCAAACTTTTGTGGAGATTTCACACACCAAGAATCATGCATGAATCTCATTCAAACTGTGTCATTAACGGTGAGAATCTTATCCGCATAATCATATAAGTAAACTCAGAAAATTAGAATTAAACTCGAAATCTTTTTTATGAAGATTAAATCAAGTATTATCCAATCATGAACATATATTAACTCTTATATATTAAATACGAATAATTATTTTAATTACACAAAAATTTTTTTAAATATTTTCTTTAATGAGAAGATTTATAGTATTCTTCTAACTTTTTATTTAATTTGATTTTTATTTGGGGGGAACGTGTGCGCGCAGCTGAAGGGTCTAGTCAGGGGTTGCGCGCGCGGCTGGGGGGTTCAGTGGGGGGTTTCCGCGTGCGTGGCTGAGGGGTCTGGTCGGGGGTCCGTTCAGTTAGGGGGTTGCGCGCGGCTGGGAGGTTCAGTGAGGGGTTTTTGCGCGCGGTTGACGGGGTTGGTCGGGGGTTTCCGCGTGGTAGAGGGGATCCGGTCAAGGGGTTCCGCGCAGCGGAGGTTTCAGACATGCATGCACTCGGAGGGAGTCAACCAAGAGCAATAACAGGTGCCACGTATGTTTAAGAACCGTTGCTTCTACAAGCAACAAGGAAAAAAGTTTAAGAACCCTTGCTGCCACGTATGTTTACTCCAACGAGAAGTTCTTGTAAGCACAGTTGCTTACAAGTAAGACACACACTAAGCACCTCCTATTGGAGGTGCTCTTATAGATGAAGAAAAAAAAAAGAAACCTTTTTTTTCATTTTTATTTGAAACTTGCATAATAATTTAAGTTAACAAATAAATAAACGTTGAGCGATCATAATAATGCTAAAGATAGAATTAACGTTACTAATTTTTTTTAAAATAATCTTTACACGAGAATTCAAGCTAACAAGTGATTAGTCATTAAACTCTCGTAATTAAATAACGTTAAAGATAAAAATGTTATTCAATTAATGTTATTATTTGTTGTATATTGAATACTTTCTAAACAATAATCTTGAAGACAAAAAATCACATTCACTCTTGCAATTATTTTCAACAAATAAAAAAAAGGTTAAGAAAAGAATGTGATACCAAATGTGAGGCAGATAAATTGTTGAACTTGTTATCGTGTTGAATCTTCAAATATGATGATATATTAGGTGTGTTTTGGCTACCTTTCACACTACACAGATGCCTCACTAAACTCAAGTTCCGTACGTTCGTGCGGGGTCGGTGGTGTCGGGTACTCGGCGTGTTCAGGTACACAAAGCGTTCGGACTGCTCGGCCTAGTCGGCACCATACGGTATATATAGTATTTTTTTTAAAAACAATACAAAATAATTTAACTGAATGGAGATTTATTACTCAATTAGATTTCTGTTCACAATTTAGTAATTCAACATCTAGCCTCAATTATATTCTATATATATTGAAAATCTAATAGTAGACTTAGCAATTATAATTTATAACATGTTTCAAAAGCTAAAATATTTACATTTTAGTCCTTTTTACATGTTACAAACAAAGATCCACCTGTTAGTACAAATTTGCAAAAAGTCCTTTATAAACATTTAACCAGAATGTTCACTACTATTTCTTTGCCATATTTATGGATGGAAGTTCTTCCTCCACCATATTTGTCCAAATTCAACAATTAATCCTCACTCATTACCATTTGACTTGCCACGCTTAGAATTTGTCCAAATATATTGGCATACGGTGAAAAAAATAAAAATAAAAAACATGTATTCTTATGCTATGATGAAGGAAATAATTTTTACTATGACTCAAGAAAAACAAGCAACGAAAGAAAGGGTTTCATCACTTCAATATTATGACGAAAAAAGAAAAGAGGTTTTCAAAGCAGCTCAAACAAAAGGACTAATATGCAATTTTAAAATCTCAGTTATGATACACCAATTAAACATCTCAACCGTTTATTATTTTATTATTATATTTCACGGTAAATTTTGACGGTCCATGATATACCACTTGCATTACTAGTTCACCCAAGAATTCACCATTTTTAAGATCCACTCTCAATAAAATATCAGCAATAAAGATGCTTTTAAGAGTGAATCCAACGGTTCCAATTCAATGCTATTAATTTTTTTTCTTAAATTAAATCAATTTCACCAAAATTATAATATTGCACAAATTATTTAAGCAAGCTCCATCTTGGTAGCAGTGCAGCTAACTGTCAGTGACGGGCAGTTGGAAACCATTGGTTGAACGACCCTTCAACTCCATTCCCCAAAATTAAATATTACAGTAAGTAACTATGAAATAATCAATTAGTATATTAAAATTATGTTTTATTAACTATTTTAATCGAGTATTGTGTTGACTCTTATTTTTTGCTTCTGAAATTAAACTTCTTTTTAAAATTAAAAATGATTTGATGTGATTGATTGTCTTTTCAATTGGGTACTTGGCAAAAATTTGTCCATGTTCAGATGCTATTCTGATTTCTGACACATATTTTATGTTCACTCGTTTTTCTCGACTCTTCCTTGGCAAATCTACAAGTCTAGCTTCTTACTCTGTAGCTTCTATTTGGCAAATCTTTGTTCTTTTCTTCTGTTCTCAACTGTTGGTCCTTCTTACTCTGTAGCTTCTATTCTTTCAGCATAGCAAAGATTGCCAATTTGCCACATAATATCAGCTTCTATTCCAAGTCTCCAATATTGCCATCCAAGTGTGTTCAACTTGGGTTTTGAATTTTGACTGATTTCAACGATCATTTGTGATTAAAGTCTCATGCTTTGAGAGTTTTCTGAATCTGGGTTTCTTCTCAACATCTATTTCGAGAGTATGTTTGTTTTTTTCTTGCTTCATTGTTCTTCTGTTTAGCTATTAAATATGGGTCTGTGCAGCATTGTATGTGTATGACTGTTTTCAATTGGTTGATTGATGATTTAATGCAGGAAATTGGACCTAGGATATCGTTGTACTTTAGTTTATAATCAAATAATGTAGTGAACAGTTATGGCTTGGATACTCTTTTGCTCCATCATATTAATTTTTAGTTTCAGTTTATTTGTTTTCTATAAAAAGTTCTATTTTAATCCATTAGACATTAGACTATTAGAGTAACTATGTTAAACCGAATTGGTGTGGTTGACTAACTATGACAGTTTTACAAACTATTTACCAATTTGGGACTCCTTTGAAACAAATTACCACTTTGGTCAATGCTGGAAAACGCAATATGCTATGTATGTTTTTCTAGCGTCATATTGCATTTTCTAGTGTTGACTACTCCAAATTGATAATTATCTATGGCAGTTTTACAAATTATTTACCAATTTGGGACTCTTTTGAAACAAATTACCACTTTGGTCAATGCTGGAAAACGCAATATGCTATGTATGTTTTTCTAGCGTCATATTGCATTTTTTAGTGTTGACTACCCCAAAGTGATAATTATATTCTTCAGAAGAGTTACAAATTGGTAAATATTACGTAAAATTGCCTAGTTTGGCCAATCAGCCCAAATTGGTTCTATATGTCACTAATTGTGTTAACTTTGGCTGACATGGCCAACATCTATTTGATGTGATACCTCTCATAGTTTGTGATGTGTCACCATGTTGATGAATTTAGGGTAATAATAAACCAATGGAACGACCAACCTAATTTAATAGAAACATTTTAAGGAATTAAAGTGAAACTTTTTAGAGGATGAAATTGAAACTAAAAATTAAGATGAGCAAAAAGGATATTTTAACCATAAGTTATTTATTTACAAAGTTTGCTCCATGTTCTTGGTTTAATTGTGTTTTGTGCAAATGATAAACCCCTATTTGGAAACTATTTGATTCTGAGTTTCCATTGTTTATGTTTCCTGCAGTAGCTTTGTTGCCATTTTCTCCGTTTCTGATATTCCCTTGTAAACATGATTGTGTCTGCTCTATTGACATCTGTTGGTATCAACACTGCCCTGTGTGTGATGTTCTTCGCACTGTATTCTATATTGAGGAAACAACCCAGCAATTATGAAGTTTATGTGCCACGCCTGCTGGCCGAAGGAACTTCTAAGAGGAGAAGTCGTTTCAACTTAGAAAGACTGATTCCTTCAACAGGCTGGGTTGCAAAAGCCTGGAGGCTTTCTGAGGAGGAACTGCTATCATTATCCGGGTTGGATGGTGTGGTGTTTATGCGCATGATAACCTTCAGGTATATCATTCCCTGCTTTAAGTGATAGTGCATTCATCTTCATGGTTTTGTAACCTTGTGTGTCACCCTTTCCATATTCATCCCTTCCAAAACAAAAAGAAAGGAAGCATCTACATAAACTTCTCCTATTTATATTGTAGACTGAGTTCTTATGTTTCTTGGATGCAGTTTGAAAATGTTCACCTTTGCTGGGATTATTGGTATCCTTGTGCTTCTTCCAGTCAATTGTTGGGGAGATCAGCTAAAAAGTATTGATGTTGCGGACTTTGTCAGTAATTCCTTGGATGTGTTCACTATATCAAATGTAAACAGTGGCTCTCGCTGGTGATTACTAACTAACTCAAGATTTTTATTGTACTAATTGAGATTGCTTAGAGAACTTATTTCAGCTTTGGGAGGTCTTTTGTTCAGCATTGGTTTTTTGTTACTGACTCATTATGGATTAGAATTGTAAGAGATTGTTACCTTTATGGTTTTTGTTTCAGGTTATGGGTCCACTTCAGTGCTGTATATATTGTCACTGGATTCATATGTATACAACTTTTTTATGTAAGGACATGCACCCTTTAACTTATGGAAATATTTTTGTCTAACTGCTTCAGCAATCTCAATAGTTTTATCATTTTATGCATTGTGCAACAGATTTGATACAGGGCTTGATAATAACCTTTTTTTTTCTTTCATTTAATTTTCTTCAACGTATAAATAGAGGTCTAGTTGGATAAATTTCTCCAAAAATACTTTTCGGAGAAGAAATTATAAAGAAAAAGTGAAATAAGCTTTTGTCAAAACTAATATTAACTATGTTTTTTAACTTATGTATAAGCTAATTTTATCTTTTAAAGAAGCTTATTTCATTTCTTTTAATTTTTTTTCTTCTAGAAGTATTTTTGGAAAAAGAGCTTTGCTGGTAACAGTTGAATTATTTTTAACATACATGAGCTAACAGTTGAAATATTTACTCATATCTCTATTGTTTTAATCTTCAGGAATACAAGTACATATCTTCTAGAAGAATTTCTTACTTTTATTCTTCCAAACCTCAGCCTCATCACTTCACAATTTTAGTCCGCAGCATTCCCACTTCCTCCTCTAGTAGCATCAGTGACAGTGTTGGGAGCTTCTTTAATGAGCTTTACCCTTCTACATATCTGTCACATGTGGTTGTTCGCCGAACAAGTAAAATCCGTAGCCTCCTAGTAAGGATCATGTTTAATTTAATTTCCTTTCTTGTTAATTGATTTTCGCCTCTATATTTTACATTTTCTTGAAAACATTATTTTTAGTCTTCTAAAGGTGTGCATAATTTTGTGGCTTTGTGCTTTGATCTGCTGCATATTTGGGATTCTAATTTCAAATTTAAGCATTAAGAGATGTATCAGTTATAGTTGACAAAGAAGTCAAATTGGATTGGAGCTTTGAGTGAATCACAAAAAAATGATAGGAATTGATTAGGAGACAAGGTTAGTTGCTTGGAAGAATAAAAGAAATACAAAGTAGTATGTTTAGATAGTTAGAGGAGACTAGTTAGATAATAAATAGGGGGAAGTAAGGATAAGGGGAGGAATGGAAGTCTGTTAGGATAGAAGGATAGTTACTTGAAAGAACAAAAGCAATACTAAGTGATTAATTTAGATAGTTAAAAGAACATAATATGCTAATTTTGGCTGTGAAATATAAGCTAGATAATAAGATAGCTGTACTACACCCATACAATACAGTTCCAAAGGTTTTAGTAGATCCTTTAACTTACATGATTTGGGTTGACAAATAAGTAGGAGATAATTGATCCAACTTAGAGCTTATTTGTATAGAAAATAGAAACATTTTTTAGTGTTTCTCTACTTAAAATAAAGAATTATTTCCAATAGAGAAGCTCTCAAAAGTATTTTTAAGCATGTATCCAAAGAGACCCTTATATGTAGAACAATCTACCTATTTGCTTTCCATATTGGAGTGATTAAAACACATCCCTGACCTAATGTTACTATTTTGTTTTTTCTTTCCTTTGGTTTGGTTCACTTTTGATGATAGTCTATAATATAAATGAGATATTCCATGAAAAAATATTGTTTGTAGGAAAATTCCTTGAGACAATTATGATACTCAAAATCTTCATAGTAATTTATTATTATCATATTCACCGCCCAAGTGTCGTTTATTAAGTTTAACAGCTTTGCTGGTAATCCAAATCCAATTATCTTTTCAATTATATGTATAGGTGGCTGCCATGTGTTGATCAGATTAAGTGCTTATGTATTCTATTTCCATTTCATTTTATGGAATTATGCAACTGATACTCCTATCTTTCCATTTCTTTTATCTAGAATGATGCAAAAAAATTGTATAAGACAGTTACTCAATTACGGTCGGATCCCACTCAGCAGAAGCATAGGCGTAGTTTTTCTTCTGGACTTTTTGGCCGAAAAAACAGTGTTATAGAGCATTATGAAAAGAAATTAGAGAACATTGAGGAGAATGTGAGGTTGAAGCAATCAGAGGCTTCATTGGCAGGAGAAGTATGTGGTAATCTTTCATGTCTTTTTCAGTCTTGTTTTAACTATTTGCAATTTTTTTGTATAAGGTGCATCCTACTGATCACTATTCTTGTTCAAGGAGGCTCGAGCTGCCTTTGTGTTCTTCAAGTCTCGTTTTGGTGCTGCAACTGCTGTACATTTGCAGCAATCAGTCAATCCCACCCACTGGATTACTGAGCTAGCTCCAGAACCTAGCGATGTGTACTGGCCCTTCTTCTCTGAGTCGTTCATGCGAAGATGGATTTCTAAGTTGGTGGTTGTATTTGTGTGCATTCTTTTCACTATTTTGTTCCTTATACCTGTAGTAATCGTACAGGGGCTTACCAACCTTAGTCAATTGGAAGTTTTGTTTCCCTTCTTGACAAGTATCCTAACCATGTAAGTCAACTTGGTTTATTTATTTATTTGTTAATGACAAACCCCCTCTCTATGCTTCTCTTATTGCCCCTCTCTTCATGGTCTCATCAACCTGTGAGTTTCTGCTCAAAAGAAAAACCTTGCATGAGAATAAGGTCAAAGTGATTGTTGAGTGTTTCTTAGAGCATACGCTTTCAAGAATTGGCCAGGCCATAAGTTGGTGACAGCAGATTTTACATTGCCTTGATTGCATTTATAGTTCATCAGTAGGAATATTGTTGTCCTTAAATGCTGAGAACACAAACTGATCTAATGCATGTCTCAGGAGTTCAAATCAATTTGTGTTCTTAACATCTAAGGACAACAAATATTAGTTAGTTCAAACAAGGAAAAGCCAAGAAGCTATGAATTGATTTTGAAATATAAAGAAAATTGATATATCAAACTAATTGGTCAGAACTCTGAACCATGATGCCATATATTGGTAGAAAGTTTTTTTTTTTTTCATGGATGTCTATGCTTAGGGGTATACACATAGGAACTCCAGTGCCCAACATTTTTTTAATTAATCTTGCTTGTAGATGCGAAGTATGGGTTTTGCAATTGATATAGGATGATGGTTACTTGAAGACCAGTGTTGATGTTGTTGTTGACAATTTTTTTGCCAGATATACTCCTTGTTTAGATTTCTTGCCTCTACGATGATCCAATCACAGCAGTGTGTCAAGTCAAATATCTGCATGTGATTTTTTTTTCCCATCTACTTGTGATGCTATGCATTTGGTTGGGTAAATTTCTGCACAAGTATTTCTAGAAGAGAAAAATAGGAAGAAAAAAAATTAAATAAGTTTCTTTATAAACTAAAATTAGCTTATACATAAGCTGTTTTATAGAAGTTCTTTCTTATTAATCTTTTCAAAATCTTACTTTTAACTTATAAATAAACTAATTTTATTTTATGAAAAAATTTATTTCAATTTTTCTTCCTATTTTATTCTTATAAAAATGTTTCCGGAGAAGTTTATCCAAACATGTCTTATATCTTCATTTTGCTGACATGCTATTTTTAGCTTTATAATTTGATTTTTGATTTCTTAATACAAAATCACTGAGCCTTTTGTGAATCTGCTTGCAGAAAATTCGTCAGTCAAATAGTTACAGGATACCTACCGAGTCTTATTCTTCAGTTGTTTCTGAAATTGGTGCCTCCTGCCATGGAGTTCCTTTCCTCTATTCAAGGATACATCTCACATAGTGATATAGAAATGAGTGCATCTAGAAAAGTGCTGTGGTTCACAATATGGAATGTCTTTTTTGCCACTGTATTTTCTGGCTCAATTCTATCTGTGCTGAGAGCCCTCCTTGATCCCAAGAACATTCCTGGGAAGCTGGCAGTTGCAGTTCCAGCTCAGGTTAGAAAATGTTTCTCTCCATCGTAAACTTTCCTGAAACATACATTTGAGGGCTACAAAATTTTTGTTGCAAGATAGAAACATTTTCTCCTATTGTAAAGTACCATGAAACTTCTATTCAAATTATTTTTGTGGTGTGAGGACTATAAAAATAATGTACAGCCTTGAACCATGTTTTATGTTCATAAACTAATCTGATCTCAGCCTACCTTCTATTGTCAGAATATTCATGAAAAGAAATATCACAATCATTAGTCATGATTTTCAAACATAAAGTATGACTAGCCATATAATTTTCTAAGCTTTTGCTTAAGCAGCTGCCACACTTATAATTTGTAATTTAAAATCTCATAACAAATTAACCCCAGAAGTCTTTCATGTTATTTAACCAAAAGGAAAATGATAATAATAAAATAACATGTGACATGGAAAGTGTTAATTTTTCAGAGAGGAAAACTCTGACATTTCTTATTCGAAAGATAAAATGTCATGATCCCAACTCAAGTCTAAAATCAAGTAACAATTTTTAGTAATGTATATATATATATATAATTTTATTTTTGTTTAATTTATTTATTTGTATGTTTCTGATGTCATTAATTTTGGTTTAATTGTAGGCATCATTTTTTATTACCTATGTTGTCACCCAAGGATGGACAAGCGTGTCATCAGAACTCTTTCGAGTAATTCCTTTCATTTTCAGTTTGATAACAAGGCCTTTCACTAGTACAGACGATGATTTTGAAGTTCCATCTGCTCCATACCACAAGGATATTCCAAGGGTCCTTTTCTTTGGACTTCTTGGCATTACATATTTCTTCTTAGCTCCATTAATTTTGCCCTTCCTCTTGGCCTACTTTTGTCTTGCTTACATCATTTTTCGAAACCAGGTCAGCATTTCTTTGGATGTTATTTTGATATCTGTTAGAAGCCTCTTATATTTTCTGAGCTTATTTTATGCCATGGATGAGCTTCTACCGATAAAAATAAGGGAGAATTTCATTTTGGAAATCCAGGCCAACTATTTTTAAGGATTAAATATGTTTTCAATCCTTCAACTTTTGTCAATTTTTGTTTTTAGTATTTGAACAAATTTTATTTGATTTTAGTCCTTGAAAATTTTATCCATGAACAAAAAAATTTTGACATCAGAAATTGAAATGTTAATAGCAGAAAAAATTTAACGACTAAAAGTCAAAATTGATAAAAGTTCATAGACTAAAATTTGTAAAATATTTGTTCAAAGAATAAAAACAAAAATGGACAAAAGTTCAAGGACTTAAAAACATATATGTAATCTTATTTATTTTAATATAGGTACTATTCAAGAACTGTTTTTAAGCTTCAACCAATTAGCTTAAACTTTGGGGTGAACTAAGTCATCTGGTACCAAAGCTTCTAAAAATATGGTCGATCCTTGTGTCACCCGCTCATTATATAGAATATGTTCGAATAAATTTCTGTAAAAACACTTATAGGAAAAAAAATAAGAACAAAAAATTGAAATAAATTTTTTCATAAGTTAAAATTAATTCACGCATAAGTTAATTTGTAAAAATTTTCTCTTATAAACCTTTTTGTAAAAATTTTCTCTTATAAACCTTTCTAAAATGTTATTTCTAACCTATGTATAAGTTAGTTTTAACTTAAGAGAAATTTATTTCATTTTTCTTTTCTAGAGTGTTTGTGGACCCAAAGTAAATAAATTTAAGCACCAAGAAAATAGGAACATCCGAACATTAATCATGCTTCAAGTCCTAAAGGCTCTCAAGCGAGGAGACATCTTAGAGATATTTTTTGATTTCTGTCTACATTTAAGAGTATTTCCTGATGTTGGTTAATTTTGTCCATAATATAAAATTTGGTTGATTCTGGAATCTGACAATGTTAACTTTATCCATAAACATGTGAGACACTTAAAAAACATTTTTGAATAATTTACACTGATTCTCTGCAAATGTATCATGCAGTTTATAAATGTATATGCACCAAAGTACGATACAGCTGGGAAATTTTGGCCTATTGTACACAATTCAATGATATTTTCTCTGGTACTCATGCACATCATTGCAGTGGGAATCTTTGCACTGAAAAAGCTTTCTCTAGCATCCTCCTTGACGATTCCCCTACCACTTCTCACACTTATCTTCAATGAGTACTGCCGAAAACGGTTCCTGCCCATATTTGTTGCATATTCTGCAGAGGTACATCTCATATCCAACAAATGATTAAGAGTCTGTTTGGTACAAGTTTATTCAAGTTTAGAAACGTTTTCGAAAGCTTTTTTACAAAAAAGTATTCTGAAATTTTTAAACACTTCTAAATTATATCTGACTAGACTCTAAACTTGAACGTTCAAATGTTTAACATTACTGAAAAATTAAAGGGTTGTTGTTGCATGTTGCATTCAATCTGTCATGTCTGATTTTGACTTGGGTTTGTGTTTCCAGAGTTTGATAAAGAAGGATAGGGAGGACCAACAAAATGATGCTACAATGACACAGTTTTATGAGAATTTGATAAGTGCTTATGAAGACCCTGCATTGCTTCCAATTCATTACTCACCGGACAATGACAGTCTTCACACTCCCCTTATATCTCAAGCTTAATGCTAAGGCACAATGTTATTCAATGATGAAATATTCAAATTTCAAGAGCAATGAGTGAAGTGCAAAAGGTGGTATTTGTATATGCCTGTTTGCAGATAGAAAAGTTGAATTCTAAAACAGTAGCCAATTTTTTCCAGCTTCTTAAATGAAGAGCCTAAAACTTGCACACAGCACTGAACTTATATATTTGCCCTTGATCTTGAATCACTTTCCTTGTTTGTGTATATTTGTTCTGAACATGATATGTCAGAGCCAAAGATGATTCTTATTGCTTAATTGCCACATTTTGATAAGGGTTTTTGTGTGTACACCTAGAGCACATATTTAGAAATAAAACAACATTTTTTACTTGTCTTTTTTTTATTATTATTATTATTAAAAATTACAATGACAGCAATAAAACTTAAATATAAAATCATGTATATATTACTTTAACTTTTTCTCATTGGGCTTAATTATCTGCAGAATAAAATACTAAATATTATTTAGATTTTCAAGATATTTAACTCTTGCATTTTTATTGGACATTTTTTTTAACATGCATTCGATGCACGTTAACAAAAATTTAAGACCTGTTATTGTCAAATACTTTATTGATAGGTGAAATTTCAAACTGGCTCTACAATTTCTGGTCCAAACTTTATATATTAAAAAGTTCAAATATGCTTTTATCATAGTAATTGACTTTATTTTTAATACCAATCCTTATAATTTTTTTGTAAATTTAGATTTTTTACCAACGTAATTTTCGCTTAGTTTTGGTTCTTATTGCATAGATTAAAACCATTTTTTTTTTCAATCGAAAGGACTATAAATTACAGGTTTAAAGTATAAAGACTAAAATTAAGTTAAAGGTAAATTATAAAGACAAATACATTAAAATTTATTACAAATATATTAGGATCTGTTTATCTTCAAAAATGCATTTTCTATCCTCATTTATAATTATAAAATTATGTCATTACTTGTTATTTGTTTTTAAAGATTTGTACAACAAAAACTGACTTTTTTCTTTCTATTTTGAAGACAGTAAATAAACTAAAAACAAAATGACAGTTTCATAACTAAAACTAAAAACAAAAAATGAAAAATGAAAACAGAAGTAATCAAGCCCTTAAAACTTTACATGACTAATTTGATTAAAAAAAAACTCATTATTAAAGAACTAAGTTGACTAAAGGAGTTTCATATTGTGAAAATTTGACAATTTACTCTTAAATCAATTAGCAATAGGTAGAAATGTCAACTCAAATTGAAGTAATAATCAGGTAAAGTAACTAATGTTTTAAAATGTTGCCCGAATGAAAATATTGGTTCAACTGTGGTTGAATAAAGATTGATTAAATATGAGTTTAATACTGTAAAATATATTTAATAATAAATTACTCAATATGTCTCATTTAAGATCTTTTATTATTATTATTATGAGTGTTAGAGGAGACATTAAATGGAGCATATTGGTGAGGGCATGAGACAGAGTGCACGAATTGCAGTATCCTAGATGGGACTTTGATATGATAACCTTCATGGCTTTTAAGGAATTCATTATATCCCTTATGCACATGATGTGTCTCCCACTCCTCTTACCCCAATGAACTTGATGGATGGAAACTTTATTATAAGAGTGTTGCCAAGGGCCTTGTCAAATGAAGTCAATTATTCATCAATTGTCTTCGAAAGATGCCTAACATTTTTATGTTAGTTAATACAATCTTGCATATCGATAGAAATGTTGGTCTTCATGAACATAATAGATAGATAGATGATTGGATCTCTCCCACTTTTTTTAAAGAATAATAATATCTATAGTACTACTAGTTTCAGTAATATCTAATAGTTCATTTTTTACATAGCATAATCGATGTCCAATTAACTTAAATGAAGAAGACTTTTCTCCTTCAACTTCTTATAACTATCACCCGTTAGCTCTGAAGATTATATTTAACATTAAAGATATTTGCAGATTGAGAAGCTACAAAATGAGATTAAAATGAATGTCATGTTTTACCAATACATAACATGTCATAATTTATAAATCTAGTAACATAAGATTTAATGTATAATTCTAATCGATTAAAGATATTGTGGCTACTCTTTAATTTATTAAAAATACATTAATCACTAAACATCAAATAATTTTGAATAAAGAGCTAAATATTTACATAAACATCCTTAATAATACAAATAAATTGAATGCTAATTTATACATATTATCTAACTTATTTTTTGCATGTACAATAATAACAAATTTATACATATATAAATTTCAAAAATATGCATGTGATTATTTAATAAATTATAAGCTCTAAATAATCAATTTTAACTCAATATCACATACTCATGAACATTATTCCCATTAACAAAATAAAACATTTCATACATACTAGAATTTAATAGACGCATTATGCGTATAAATATATTCGAAGCAACTTTAAAATATTGTAAGTTAATTATATCATAGTGGTTAGAATTATTACATATGCAGAAAACGTACTTGGTTCGATTCCCACATGCCAAGTGTTTAAAAATAATAATTATATACAAAACACACATGCTTTATATAATATATGTATAAATTACAATCATATCCAAAGTTAAATAAATGGTTCAAGGGGTTATCATCTTCACCAACCTCAAGCAGTAACGGGCTTTCGAACTCACATTAGATGTGTTCTGGTTGAAACTCGCATGTTTGAATCAAAACTAGACGTTTTCAACCATTTTTTTAACATCGAAAAAGGATGTTTTAAATCACATAAATGTCTAGAAAAGGATATTCATCCAATTTCTAGTTTTATTTTGATTAAAAGTGGCCCAAAAGGGAATGATTATAATCTAGTAAAAAGAAACTCTAACAAAACATCAATATAAGCAAGTCATAAGCTATAAGATGCTTTGATATCAAATAATACATAAATATATTGATCCAAATATATATGTTGAACACAAAAATAATATATTCAGATGACGACGAAAGCATAAAAATAAGAATCATAAGGACCAGCCTTTAACTGTTATTATCTACTTCGTTATTAGATTTAGATAGTGTTTAGATATTTATAACTCTGATTCACTGGTTAACTGCGACAATAACTCCTGTAAACAATAATTCTATTAGATAAAACTTAAGATTTACTTCGACTACAGATTAGACAATTATATAGTATATAAATAGATAACAACTCTTATTTTATAAGTTGATTTTGTAGGATTGAATTAGGCTTAAATCTATTATTTTAATATGGTATTAAAGTTATCCTAGATTCTTAAAAAAGGGTCACCTATCCTAAATCATTAAAAAAAAGTCATCTATCATTTATCCACATACCAAATCTAATAGTGTTGGACGTGAAGGGTGTATTGGAAAAAACACAAATCATACATCGAGTAGAGATCAGACAATTACTTAGTATATATATAGACCAACCCTCATCTTACAAGTCAATTTTGTAGGTTACAAATCTTTACTTTTAATACATAATAATATTGAATGGTAAAGATAAGTTCATTAACTCAAAGGAAAAACAATACATTTCTTATAGAGTTTTAATTATCACAAAATTCAACATAAAAACTTTAGGACTATAGGTATATTCATATAGTTGTTGCATGGATAATAAGAATGAGTTGAAAATAATGAATCCTATTAAAAATAACTTTCTCATAAAAATAGAAATATTTTCAAATAAAAAATATTCTCCTTCAACTAAGAACACTGCAGCTCCTATTAAGAAGAAAATAACCAAAAATTTACAAATTTAGTTTATTCATTAAGATAGTTTAATTTAATAGTTGTATCATTAAAATTTAATATAAGTCATAAATTATTTAATAGAATAATTTTCAAAAAAGTTTTTTTTACAATAACCGAATGATTTTCTTTATTATATATGTCGATAAAAAAATTGATTATCTTGGTGTGATATTTGTTTCCCAAATCCTTAATGAAAAAAAAAATAAGAAGATTAATTTGTTATAATCAATCTGATGTTGTCATTGGGTGACCCGGTCAACAAATTCGAAATAAACATAATTAATGATTATAATTATCATGATTTTATTTTCTAAATTTACTTAAATTTATTTATTTTAAATAATAATTAAGTTATGACACTTCTTAAAAATTAATTTAAATGTCTCAGTACATTTTAGTAATATAGATTATTTATATATATATATATATATATATATATTTTTATATCCAATCATATAAATAACTCAACTTGTATAGTGTAAATTAGGTAAATTATAGGTGGGCCACCATGGATCAATCCATGTTTGACCCAACCCATATAGACCTAGCCAGCCCGAATTATAAGGCCCTTGTTCCCCGCACTTTAATACATACATTGTAGTTTTGGATAGAAAAGGAAAAAAGAAATTGGCTGAATAATGTGATAAGAAGGAGAAATAAAAGGATAAAACTTACTTGTAATTTAATATTATTTACAGGTGTTGTTCTCTAATTAAAACTTAGCTTTTATTTCTATAAAATGCATATAAATTATTCTATTTATGTTGATGATATTGTTAATATAAAATTTTTATTTCAATAAGAGAACAGTATGAATAATATTTACACTGAATTTAATACATCATTTAGTGTTTGAATTTTTTTGAAAATTTTCAATTTGATCTTAAACTAAAAAAATTTGTAATTATATATTCATTATTTTATATTTTTCTAATTTAGTTCTTACTTTTAAAAATTTATTTACAATTCATAAAATTTAACAAAATATTTTTAATATTTAGATATCTGGACAATCATATTAAATTATTATTTTTTGTTATCATCCATATGTACTAAAAATATCGTGTGAAATTTCATTGATTGTTAACAAATTTCTATTCTTATAAATTAAGTTACAAAAATATTATAAAAAAAATATTAAACCTTTATAGTATATATCTAAGTTTTTTTCCAAAAAAGAAAATATATAACAAGAAAACTAGATATAATACAATAATTGTTGACACTGTATGTAAGTTTTGTAAAAGAATAATAATAGTTGAGGATGAGAATAGATGTAAGAAAAGAAAAGTGTGAAACTAGAGACTTGTTAAAAAAAAAAAAAGTAAAAATGTATGATTACAAGAACGAAGGCAATCATAAAGTAACATGGCATATTATGAGAAGAATGTCGGTTCACAAGATTCATTTTATGGTGGACAAAAAGTCAAGAGATGAAAAGTTGTTTTGTGCCCTGCCCAAATATGGAGGAAAAAGAGAAAACTTGAGAAGTGTTCAGAAAAAAAAACTTACACATCCTTGTAAATTATTATACTCCTATGTTTGAAAACATTA